AAAAAAAAAAAAAAAAAAAAAAAAGAATTGCAGAAGGCCTGTGTAGCTTCTTTCCGATGAGAAGTCTCAACATGTTTGGCCCCATCTCCTTATGAATCCTGAACACAACTGGAACAAAGTCAGCTTGGCACAAAGTCCTCCCTGAACTCTCTGCATAGACCCTCTTCAAGGATCATTCTAGAAATAACCTTCATTATTCTCCAATCTGTTATCATATCCTATATTGCATTATTTTTCCTAGTGGACATTTGTAATGACTATGATGGGTGCACGCAGTCTTTGTTATTGAATAATATTGTTTTCTATAATAGAACATGCTCATAAATGCTCTCATATCCTTATGTAAGACACGACCTTGTTAATCTGGCCTCTAATGATTGAGCCATAGATGAATAATCTGAGCGAAAGCACAATACATTGCCTAGTCAGTGACCTATGACCTAGGTGGCTTGACTGGAACAGATAAACTGTGCAAACAAATATCTCTTTTTTGAATATTTGAAACAAGAGACATAGATATTATACCAGACAATATCTGGTGAAGAACTTCTTCCTGGAAGCTCTAGTAGGCTTGGCAAATGGAGTGGTCACTTTGGGTGCCAGGTACAAGATAATGAGTAATTAGAGGGAACCAATCTGCCCACAAGACAGAATGGAACTGATGTGTAGTGTGGAGAAAAACAGAGAAGAGACCAATGAGAGCCCACTCAGCAGCAGAGACAAAGAGTGAAGGGCCTTCTGCTTTAATGACTTCCCAGGCCCAGGAGCTGGCGGAGTTTTAATTCCTGTTTCCCAGATTTGATGTGTTTTTCCTGTACCCGTAAATCAAATCTCTTTTTATTGAGCTGTTTTGAGAAGGTCTTAGTTTCTTGTGACCACAAAGCAGCTTGACTACAAAGTTTTCCATCTCTCCACCAAGCATAGCCTTTCCCCTTTTCTGGCTCTATGGGACTGGAAAGAATCTGTTTTTATTAATTTATTATTATTTTTATTTATTTATTTTTTTGAGTTGGAGTCTCACTCTGTCACCCAGACTGGAGTGCGGTGGCCGGGAGCGGCCACCGCAGCCTCAACCTGCTGGGCTCCGGCGATCCTTCCGCCTCAGCCTTCCAAGTAGCCGGAATTACAGGCATGCCCCACCACGGCCGGCTGATTTTTTGATTTATTGTACAGATGAGGTCT